TTCCCTGGCTGCAGGGTGGGATGGGCCCTTTGGGGGAGAGCTGTGGAGGGCACCGGCCTCTCATTCTCCTCTCTGCTCTAATGAGTACATTTGTGCCAAGAGGCCTGGCCATGTGGCCGTGAGATGGCCAGGACTCCAGATCTCACACATGTCCCCCAGGAAACAGAGAGCTGAATATGCATCAGTTGGGGCCCTCTGAACTCCAAAAGAACTTCCAGGACTTTCATTTTGTCCCCAGTGGCCAGGACGTCTGTGTGCCGTGGCCCTCTCAGCCCAGCATCTACAACTGCGGTGTTTTTCCTTTCTAAGATAGTGTTTCACAGAGGCAGGTTTGGGAAAATGTATTTCCGTTTATTTCCGTTCTGATAAAATATATTAAAATATATTTCCATTCTAAATAAGTCAGTGCCTGTTTTGAATTAATCACCATGATGGGTAGTAATTAGGCATATATGGATCTTACAAAGAGTTTCCTTTTGGGAGACAGCCACTAATTCTCCTTAATGTCATGCAGTGGCCTATCTTAGGAGCCTGAAGTTTTTCCCCAGAAATCGGACTCCCACTTTCTAAAATTTAAGTCAAGATTATTCGCCCCAAATTCTCTAGAAATTGCTGCAGCGGTTTAGAAGATTTGATCATGCACAACTAGAGATTCACTTACTTCCCCTAGAATTCAGTCAGAAGCCAAACAAAACAGAAGTGCATGGACCCCCAGTCCATAGTTGGCATTGGAGACATGATGGTGGCCTCGGAGAACAGGGACCTAGCTTCTAGGGCTACTCCCTGGGACAGGAGCTTGGAATGTTTCAGGCTCCTCTCCAGAGGGCTTGATCTTTTTCTCTCTCTCCCTCTCCTGCTCTCCTGCTCTCTTCCTCCTTCTTTTTATTGTTCTCTTTTTCTTTTATTCTCCCTCCCCCATCTCTCCCTTTATCTTCCTCTCTCTCTGTAAACTCTGTCTCCCACCCCTCTCTTTCCCTTTCTCCCCTTCCCTCTCTTTCCTTCTCTCTTCCTCTCCATCTCCCCCACCACTCTCCCTTCCTCCCTCCACCCTCCCTTCCTCTCTGTCTCTTCTCCTCCTTTCTCCTCCCTCTCTCCACCTCTCTCATTCCTATGCCTGGAGTTCTGCCTGCCCCTCTGCATCTAGGGATCACTGCTACTGTATTCTGAAATCACAGCCCTTGTCTTTGCCTTTCCTCTGTTTCACACTGAAAAGTTTTCATAACCAACAGGGATTTCTTTTCCTGCCTGCTCCCATGCCCCTCCTTCTGTTTTGGGGTTCCCATGTGGTTGCTGTGTGCAAGTACCTGGACTTATTTTTCTACTGGGGCAGGTCAACTTCAGTGACTCCCCTCTACTCTTCTTTGCAGCATTTACTAGAATAGAACAAGAAGTCTCAATGCTTTTAATGAAAGGGGAGAGATCCTACTTTCTGGCCTATAGTTCAAAATTAGGGCTTGCATTTTCCCAGAAGCCAGTAATCAATTCCAGAGATATTTGAGTGGACAACCTGTTTTCAAAAATCCTCCTTATATCTTTGATTAACTAATTAATGGGCTAACTTTAGTACCTACCTATTGGAACCTGAAAAAAGACTTTTGTTAGTGGAACTACATTTCCAGAGCTGTGGTTTTCAAAGTGTGGTCCCAGCACCCACATCCTCAGCATCCCCTGTAATTTATTAGGAATGTGAGTTATTGAGTCCCACACTGGACCCACTGAATCAGAAACTGGGGGTAGCCCCAACAACCTGTGCTTCACAAGCCCTCCAGGTGATTCTGATGTGTGCTCAGAGAAACCCTGCTTTGGAGCGAAGATTGCCACAGCTCAGTGGTCTGCAATGTCAGATGCAAATTTCTTAATAGGCACTGCTGGAGAAAGTCCGCCCCACAGCTATGACCAAGTACAGATCTATAAAAGGATGAAAATTCCCACAGTGGAGGGATATTGGAAGGATTAAACTAGATAACCATGTGAGATTTAATAAGGTAATACAGCACCTTGGTACATGTTCAATATTTACCTCGTTTCTTCCTTCTTTATACATTCCCAACCAAACAACCAAACAAAAAACAATCATTCAGACACAAAACAATCAAACATCCTCTTATAAATAACTTTATTTTGCTAATGAGTAGAAACTCTAAGCTCAAAATACATTTGACAAAACAATAGTTGAGGCATTTACCCTCAGTTGAGTTAGTTCATTTAATTTCACTTCTGATGGCACTGCAGCACTTGCTTTAGAATTAATCACTAACATCTGAACAACATTTAAAGCAAAGCACTGCATGTTTCTCAAAGAACAAGAGGATAAATATAAATGTCTGGGTGTACATGTGTGTCGTTGAGGGAGAGAAGCAATTTTAGGAGAGAAGCAATTTTGACTCAAAAAGGAAACAAAACAACAATCTTATCTGGGAGGAAATCTAAAATTAAGTAAATAGGCAGAAGTCAGAATTTTAGCACCTACTTAATGTGGTCAGGCCTGTTCTTACTGAATCTTGATCTAGTTTCAGGATTAGACATTAGATGGTAAGAGTAAAACAGAAAAAAGCAACAGTATTTCCTAACTCTAGAAAGTAGAATTTCTGAAAGTGAGATGCTTAGAAATGTCTTTATTGGAAAAGCACCACAAAACAGGTCATTTTATAAACTTCTCGCAGCTTGAAAGGACCCCGAGTCCCAGATGCGGGTCTCCGGCGCCGCCAGGGGGCGCGCCGGGCCTCCCAATGCGGTCAGGCAGGCAGTCGCAGAGTTTCTGTCTTTGAGGTCCTGTCATTCTCTGTATAAACAAGTTACGTTCAAGTGTTTAGGATATAAATTACGACCATGCCGGCTGCCTCGAAAGGAATGTAAACACAGCACTGTGGTCGGAGCAAACTCTGAAACTGACTTCATAATTTATAGCAGGCCCCTGAGTAGCTCACTATAAAAGAAAAAAAGGCACTATTTAACTGCAAATATGATAATGGAGAGACCAAAAAATGTTTAAATCACTGCTTAATTTTGGAAAATATAAGAAGGAAATCTAAGGATTAGGAAGATGGTTAAGACTTTTTGAAAAAGATGTTTTACGTATGAGACTGTCTTTGGAATGTAATTCAATTGGAATACAAAAACCCCTGGGGTGAGAGATAACGCCTGAGTAGTATTAAGTGCCTGGTGATTGATTGGGAAAAAGATCTTCTAGGGAAATAAAGGTGAGTTTTCCATTCAGGCAAGAAAAAGCAAAAAACAAAAACAAAAACCAAGCCCTGAGATGGAGAGGAAAGGAACCACGAAGTGGTTGTGGTTGAGAATTTCTCTGTTCCCGCTCAGATCTGTCTGGAGTTGCAGAGCTGGGCAGACGGAAGGTGGACAGGGTAGGAAGTCAGTGCTCCCGCCTAGATGGCCTATATTGTCTCTCTCTAATCCAGAGAGTCACCAACTCTGCCTGTAATATTCATGACCAGGAAACCTAGTAGGAAAAGGAAAAAGGGCTGAGGAGGGAATCCCCAAGGGAAACCATCAAATCCTTGGTTTAAAGGAAGGCATGGGGAGAGGGGACCAGGGAGGAAGGGGAGGGTTGGGGGGCAGTGGGTGTAGTTGCTAAGTGGGGTGAGCCAGGCTCTGAATTGAAGGGTGGGGCAGACAGCAGCATCCCAACACCTTGTCTGTGGAGTCCAGTTTCTGTCTTAAATGCTCTGGGGAAGCCTAAGACCCGGAGGGAGGCTGGAGGCTCTCCATGGCATTCTTTAGATCTGACTGCTACCTGGGGAAGGGGAAGCAGGGCACCCCACCCTTCCTCACCCACCAAGGAAGGGGAACCCCACCCTCCCTCACCACCAAGCCCAGTGCAGGGAAGCTCTGGGTGGGGGCTTGCCACGGTGTGCCTGCTGGTGGGGAAGAGGAAAAGGCAAGGGGCAGAACACTCCCTGGGCACAGGAAAGAAAACAAAAGGGGCACAAAACTTGGTTTCCTCAAGTCAAACTCTTGCCTTTCATTATCTTGCCTGGTTTTCTTTCAAGTTCCTTTCACCTTCTGGTTTTTGTTTAGTCAGAAAAAGCTAGGGTGAAGTGAAGAGAGAAATACCAGAAAACGTTCCTTCTTCCTTTTCTCTCCTGAGAAGACCCACAATCAGAGCCTGGCCTGTGTTACTCCAGGCAAGGACCCCACACCACGTCAATTACTGAGGGTGAGCGTGTAGGGTTGCACTGCTGCCCTGCTGGGTGTGGAAAGGAACCTGGCTTTTGACTGCTCAAGGGTGCCCGAGGACAAAAATTGGCCCCTGAGACAACTATTTGTTATATACATTTTATTGAAAAAATCTTACATCAAAATATTTTTGGCAAACTGTAAAAGTATACATAAGTGCAAATATATCCTCCTTTTAAAATACAAGCAAAGTGTGAGTATACACGAAGATCATAAAAATATCTTTAAAATATGGTGGTAGAAAACAACCTTGTAAAGACTGTAATGTCACAAGACTGAAAACCACGTTCTTAAACTACACACATTTTTTTCTAAATAATTTCTTAATAATGTTCTTTGGCACCTGTATCCAAACGCAGTGTTTGGAGAAACAGAACTCTCTTACTTAGTGTGGCAACAAGATAAAGCTCTCTTGAAATCTTGTGCTTAGCACTGCCTTTTTGAAAAGCACACAAGTTTTCATAGACAAACACACACACACACACACACACACACACATGCACAAACACACACAACTTGTCTGCTTTGTTCAGACCCTGATCACGGAAGGCAGTGAAGATCCCAGAGTCGTGTGTTTATGTTCTACACATGGAGGATGGTGATCAGCTCCTCTCATCACTCCCTCCCGCACTTGGAAGCCTGCAGGTCATCTTGTTGGAGCATGGCCAGGGGTGCCCCCTCCAAGGGGGTGGCTAATAACAGCGGGCAGCGCTCTCTTGGACATTCTGGCCAAATGACAGGTGCGCTACTCGCTGCCGTCTATGTGCACAATATAAGAGTCCATTCCAGACCCTGCCTGCCCCTACCATGGCCTCTTTCTGTTCACATGACGCAGGGCTTGATATCCTGACAGACACTCTGGTGGTGATGGTGATAATAGGACCCACTGGCTGAGGGGTGAAAAGAAGAAATGCCATTGAAATTGAAGACAAAATCCTTCCTGTCGCACACTGGAGTGGAGTGGTGCTGGTAACGAGGCAGTCCCACTGAAAGAAGAAAGAAAAAACCTCTTTTCAGAAACAACATCATCCTGCTAGTGATGGGCATGTTCTTTAATAAATTTCAGTGTAACGTGTCTTATTTTGACTCAGGGTACAAAAGGTGCCGGTGTGTCTTTGCAGTAACACTGGTAGAGAAAACTCAGTGTTTCCAACAGCAGGTCGTAGACTCTGGAATCATCGTTTTTTGTTTTGTTTTGGTACACACACAAATACAGAGCAAGTCCCCTGGGGGTTCTTCTGTCCCTGAATTACTGTCCGAGTCTGGGACCAGCTCTTTAGTCTCAGGATGTGCACAGGCATGAGAACAGCTCGACCCGCATTCTGCTTCTGGGTCTGGCTGCGGCAGGAACAGACCACCCTGCCCGGAACCACTACCGTGGCATTGAGCTTTTGTCTTGAGCCTTATTGCCCAACTAACTGGTCAGAGGAGCGGGCAGAAGAATGTTCCCTGTGCCAAAGGGGTCCATAGCAACAACGATGGCAGGAGGAAAGGACGGGACAGAAGATCCACCTCCCTCCCCTTCGGCAGGCATGTTCGTAGGTCGCCTTAGGGCGCAGAAAAGCGCCCTTCTGCCCGAGGCTCTGGGGGGGAGGCGAGGACTTATAAAGTCGCCGCCCGATCCTCGGTCCACGGCCTTAGCCAGGCGCTCCGCCCGACCCGCCCGCTTTTGCTTTCTCGGCGCCGCCCGCCCCGGGGCACAATCTGCTTGGGTGTCCGCCGCCTGGCCCCGCACCTCTCAGAGGATGGACCCCTCTCGGCACCGGGCCGGGCAAGGCCGGTGAGCCTGGGTCTCTTTCGGTCACCGAGGGCACATTTGTGCCCGACCGAATTCAGTCTTTCAGGGCAGGAAAACCGCACCCGCTGCTCGCGGGACCCGGGCCACGTTCACACCGCCTCGGACCGGCGGTTCGAGGGCAGGCGCGCTGGCCCAGTTGGTCCGGTGTCGTCTGTCGCTCTGCGCACAGGTGCTCCGGCCCTTCGCGCCACAGCAAAAAGTCCTCGTGCCGACTCCGGGGCCACACGGGGACCAGAAGAAGCCCACGTCTGCCCGAGAGGCCGCCAGCGGCGCTCGGACACCAGACGGGACGACGGAAGCCCGAACTCCTTCGAAAGGCTCATGGAGCTTCACGAAGGGAGGCGGCCCTGGCCCCGGCGGGTGAGGTGCCCGCGGCCTCTCTGAGCACCCGGCCGCAGCCACCCTGCCCAGGAGTGGAAGAGCACGGCCAGCGTGGACGTGCTGGGGGTGGGGAGAGGGTAGAGCAGGGTGGGCGCGTATGCTGAGCTGTGTGCGGGGGACATCCTCGGCGCCGCCGCCGGGCCTTCCAGTCCAGCGGGCGGCGGGCTCTGAACAAGGCCCACAGGCTCCCCGCGCACCCGACCCGCTCCTCGGAAACTCCGGCCTCGGCCCCTGGGAGATGCCTTGGGGCTGTGTGGGGTATTCTAAGGGGGTGGGCGCAAGAGGGCGAGGGAGGAAGGAGCAGAGCGTCCCGGTAGAGCGTCAGGCCCTGGCTACCATTTCCCAAGCGTTCCCACCCTGGGCCTGGAGTTCGCGCGGGGCTCCCGGGGAAGGCCGGCCACGGGAGTTCCGCGGGCAGGGACGCGGAGGCCGGCTTGCTCAAGTTTGTTAGTTTTCCTCCTCTCCAAGACAGAGCCCCAACTTTCTGGGAGCTTGTGTGTGCCCCTGGTGTGTGGGGTGAGCTAGGGCGGCCTCGAAAGAGGTCAACAGTCTCTCCTGGTGCCTGTTTTCTTCCTAGAGTACAGCTTCTCGGAGGCCTGCGGAGCCTGGGAGTCCGTGTTCAAGCGTGTTCAAGCGGAGTAGGGCCTGCCTGGGAAGGCGAGCGGGAGAGGAGCAGGGTGGGGAAGGGAAGGGGTG